ACTACGACTACGACTACGACTACGACTACGACTACTACTACTACTACGACTACGACTACGACTACTACTACTACTACTACTACTACTACTACTACTACTACTACTACTACTACTACTACTACTACTACTACTACTCCCAGGTCTCCGGGGGAGCTGCTCAGCGCCGCGGTGCTGGTACAGCAGGTCCTTGCCGTGGCCATGCCAGCCCTGGCTTCTGACACGGCTGAACCACGAAGAGCCTTGAGCCAGCTTCGCTCTCAGAGGTCTCCAGAGGCTGTCGACACCAACCTTCATCACAAGATTCGCGCCGTGGGCTGTTTCATCTGGATTCTGGAGCGTGTTCCGCCTTGAACGCCCGCGCCGGCGCCGCCGCCGCGTCGAGGCGGCGCGAGCATGCCGCAGCGCCGTGGGAAAGCATAGGAGGTGGGGATGGGGAAGGGAAAGGGCGCGGCGTGCTGCCTGGGAGCGCCCCATCGTCTCGAAGTCGGAGAGGTAGGTGCGCGCGCCCTCGAGCTGCTGCCAGCTCGGGACTGGCAGCCTGACCAGCTGCGTCAGGATGCGGACCTGCGCGCCGGACCGCTCCCGAAGGAGGAGGAGGAGGAGGAGGAGGAGGAGGAGGAGGAGGAGGAGGAGCACACGAGAGACACGTGCCTGCTCGTTCTGTGGGGCTGGCCCTGGCATGGCGCCATGGCGGGTCCTGAGAGAACCGGCCGGGGCCTTCTCCCAAGACCAACCCCACACATCCGACGCCTCGATTGTTCCGAGACATGGGCATCCGACCTCCCGACCACTTCCCCGGGACCGGTTTCTCATCCCGAGTCGTCGTTTGACGGTCCCGAGGCCCGGAGAGGGCCGCGAGAGGCCACAAACTACGAAAAACCTACAGTCAAAAACCCTAATAAGGACGCGCGGTGAGGACGCAAGAACCTTGGAAGCCGAAGCTGGGATTTTTGGGGCGGCGGACGACGAAAACTTCAAGGACGCAAGAGCAAGGGAGAGCAAGGACGCAAGGGCACCCTGAGCAAAGTCGCGCGTCCTTACTATCGGGATCGGCCAAGAGGGGGGTGTCCAAGAGGGGGGGGGTGCAAATCATGACCGGCGGCATGTGCGCGGCCCAGCGGGGGGGCCTGGGACGTAATGAAATAAGAAGAGGCGCAATGAAGTCTGGAGAAATATCATGGCCCGCGCCATGATATCCACCCCCCCTAGTCATCACCCCCCTCTTTTCCGCCCTCGATATTAGGGGTTTTGACTGTCTGTCTCGATGCTTGTCGAGGCGCCCGGTGCCCGGGAGCCTCCGCCCGGGACCACGCCCAGGCCGTCCGTGGGGCCCGCGGAGTGCCCCCGCAGAGGCCGAGGGCGGCGCAAACAGAAAAAGCCTCGGGACCCGCCGCCCTCGGGGCCCGGCTGTGGTGCTCCACGGCGAGGCGTCTCGGAGGAGGGCTGCGCGCGCAGCCACAGGGTTGGGTCGGGAACGCCACGCGTTCCTTAGCAGAACCATCGAAACCCAAGAAACCCAGGGCACCCTGGCGGCAAGCAGGGTGTTTCTTGACATGGACCCCCACTGCATCTGCGCGTCTTGACTCTAGTCTTAGGTCGGGCGTGGATTTTCTACAGGCGGATTCTGGACGGGAAAAAAACAATACACCCAAAATGCACCACAAATGCTCAACAATTTTTAACAAATCGTCCCCAGGCTATGTGTTTGACTATCTTCGAAAAATTCCGCCTGTAGAGGGACGCGCCCGACTTAACTGTCGTCGTCACCCCCATCCTGGACGCCCGCGACTGCGAGGGGCCCAAGCCAGGGGCGCACTCGCGCCCGACACCTCCGCGCGCGAGGGACGAGCGGCGCCTTGTACGCCTGGGCGGCCACGAACGCGTGCAGGCCGAACCACATGGCCATGAACAGATCCGCCAAGCGCGCCGCGGGGTTCGCGCGTCGGGCCCCTGGACGGGAGCGTAGGATACGCATGGGCGATTTCGGGAACTCTGAACCCCAAAAACGGTTTCATCTCTCGAGGACGCATTCTTTACCTCCGGCACCTTCCGCCAGCGGAGGCGGCCTCGTGCTACTTCCGCCGCCGATCCGCCGCCTTCCGCGGCGAAGAGATGACAACTCATTCGATCCTCGAAGGCAAGGCGGCCCTTTTTGGAACGGCCCACATGGATTGCCCCCGAGCCTTCCAGAAGCCCCTCAGTCTTACCAGGCCGAGATCCCCCAGCAATCCACACCCGATGTGCACTCTGTCAGAATGTTTTCTGCGGCCTGCTGCAGGATTCAGTGGCCCTCGCCGGAACGCAATTCTTGAGGCCCCCCCTCCCTCCCCTCCTCTCGATGATCCTCAGAACGTGTGTTAGCGCCAACGTGTGTTTGCCCACTGAAGCCATTCACTACGACGAAGGCGATGTGATGATCGACTGATTGGGTTGAACGGGGTAAACACACATTGGGCTAACACACGTCCTGAGGATCATCCATCCTACCCCACCTGCTTTCAGTGTGCACCTACTGGCTCGCCATCGTTCGGACGTCCATTCCCCGTACATGATTCGGCCTCGTGCGTGTCTTTTCTCGCAGGATGAACCACGAGGCCCCTTGATGGTCCTCGCCTAGAAACAAATGCACACGTCCGAGCGCTGACAAGTTGGGGGATGAGAGGCATCGATGCGGCGCGATCCTCCGACCCCATCTACTCCGACCCCATCTGAGAGGCATAGAGATGTGCACCCCGCAATCCTCGTGCGACTGATGCAGAATTCGGTGGCCCTCTCGGCAAAGCTACTTTTGAGCCCCCCACCCTCCCCCTCCCGCTTTCAGTGAGCACGCGGGCCTCTGGGTGGGACCGGGCACGAGTGAGCAGATTTCTACACCACCCATGCCCATGGCGCTGGCGACGATGATTGCACTCATACCCTCTTCGCCCTCATGCTGAATCTGACGCTGGCATACTACAACCCTCGTCAAAATTAACCTCAAAAATGTCTGACGTGGTTGAACTGCTTGTCGGAAGATCTGGGGCCGAGTATCGATGAGTGCGGGGTACTTGCATGCGCCGCCCCTCCAATGTCAGTCGACGTCAAACTTTCGAGTCAACTTCGGTCAGACTATCTTTGTCCTCGCCCCGACATTGAAGGGGCGGCGTGTCGGCATTGAGGGGCGCGCCGAAATCGAAATGACGTGCCAGCAACTGTTGAGGTTAAGTTTGACGAGGGTAGTATTTCGCATACGACCATGCATGTGGTCTGCAACCGATGTGCCGTCTAGTCACGGCTCCTGGCCTGGCCTGACCTGACATACTGTTGGGTCGGACATGTCCTTCTACAGCCGGATCTTGGAAGAAACCATCTCTATATAGTCAAACATACCCGAAACATTTTCGAAACAGCATCAACTATCGTCCCTTGACTATTTGTTTGACTAATCTTGCAAAGTCCTGCACCTGTAGAGAGACATGCCCGACTTAAACCTGTTGGGGGATGAGAGGGGTCGATGCGTCCCCTCGAGTAGCCATGGCCTCTCTGGGCCGCGCTCTCACCAGGATGCCGCTCAGGGCCCAGCCTCGGCGACGATGGCCCTGCAGGGAGGCCCAGGACTGGCGAGGAACATCGAGATCCTCCTCCTCCTCCTCCTATTCCTCCTCCTCCTCCTCCTCCTCCTCCTCCTCCTCCTCCTCCTCCTGGTCCCTCCCCTCCTCCTCCTCCTCGTCCTCCTCCTCTCATCCTCCTCCTCCTCCTCCTTGTCCTCCTCTTCCTCCTCTTCCTCCTCCTCCTCCTCCTCCTCCGCCTCCTCCTCCTGGTCCCTCCCTTCCTCTTCCTTCTCCTGGTCCCTCCCTTCCTCCTCCTCCTCCTCCATCCTCCCTCCTCCTCCTCCTCCTCCTCCTCCTCCTCCTCCTCCTCCTCCTCCTCCTCCTCCTCCTCCTCCTCCTCCTCCTCCCCTCACCCGTATCCCCAAGGCAGCGAGGACGACGTCGCCGCACTGTCGCTGCAGGAGCGGTGTCCGACTCGCCAGCGGCCTCGAGAGGCCCGGGGGCTTCAGCACAGTCCCGCTGCCTTCCGCGAAGGCGTGCCCCCTCTCGCTCCATCGGGTTATGTTGCTCCCATCGTACTTAAAGAATACACCCCTAAAATAATTTGGAGCACCCGGAAAAATGTCGAAAGAGTGTCGAAATAGTGTCGGACGAGTCTCCCAGGGCCCGACACGTGAAAACCCTCGAGTTTCGGTGCTGTTTGGGGGCTCGGATTTGTTTCTGGTGAGGAATGCTAAAGTAGGTTGGAACGTCATAACCCTCGGGGCGGGGCACGTCGAGACCAGCGGCAGCCCACGATCGGTCCCCGGACCCCTCCTGGGGAGCAAAAGGCACCGCCATCTTCTCCGAGCCTCCTCCGGCCGTGGCGCACGGGGGACGCTGGGCCCCCCCGAGGAAGCCAGCCCTCGTCCCGGCTTCTCCTCCTCCTCCTCCTCCTCCTCCTCCTCCTCCTCCTCCTCCTCCTCCTCCCCCTCCCCTCCTCCTCCCTCCTCCTCCTCCTCTCCCCTCCTCCTCCTCCCCTCCTCCTCCTCCTCCTCCCTCCTCCTCCTCCTCCTCCTCCTCTCCTCCTCCTCCTCCCTCCTCCTCATCCTCCTCGTCCTCCTCCCCCTCCTCCTCCTCATCCACCTCCTCCTCCTCCTCCCCCCTCCTCCTCGTCGCCGAGCGCACGGGGAGCTTCTCGACGAGGCCTGAGGGGCGGGGAGGCAACCGCCTGCCACGGCGGGCCTCGGCGCCCCCGCGGGCGGGAAGACCTCGGGGGCCACCCCTGCAGCCCCTCTCCCCCAGGGGCAAGACCGACGACGAAGGCGACGACGACGACGACGACGACGACGACGACGACGACGACGACGACGACGACGACGAGGACGACGGACGACGATGACGACGACGACGACGACGACGACGACGACGACGGCAACGACGACGACGACGACGGACGACGGACGACGGACGACTGACGACGGCTGACGACTGAGGACCGACACCGACGACCACGACGACGATGATCCTGCGAACATGTGATCGAACGACCTGCATGTGTTTCTCCCTCTCCCCTTCTATCCACCCGCTGAATGTGTGAGCCAAGCCCCTTCTCAGGGGGCTTCTCTTCATGCGAAGTCCTGGGAGAAGCATCCAGCAATGCACTCTGCGCGCATCGCGCCGACATGGCAGTCCTGCGAGCTGAGGCGCGTTGTCGTCGCAGCTGGGCTTTCACAAGATTGAATGATTTGCGAGGAGGTATCGGGCGAGAACGCCACTCGTGAGCGCAAAAATGCAATTGACCAGGGCGCCCGCGTGAATTACCAAGAACAAAAACCAAGCGGGAGCCGTTGTCTTTGTAGCTGGGCCTTCGCCACATTGGGTGAATTGCGAAACCGTCTCGGGCGAGAACGCAACTATTGAAGTTTGAATCTGAGGGCCTCTCGGGCCACGGCGTCCCGGAATAAATCGTGAGCACGTATGGGGCTGGAGCGGTCGTTCCCGCTCCTGGGTTCTCGCCGCCCTGTGCGAAGTGCGGGGACGCCTCGGGCGCGAGCGCCGTCCCTGAGTTCGGGGGCCTCTGTGGCCAGGGCGCGCTGGAACAAAACATGTGCCTGGCCATCGCTCGGACGTCCATTCCTTGTGTGTTTTTTCGGTTCCGTGCGTGGCTTTTTCCCCAAATGAGCAAGGATGCTCCTCGATGGTCCTCGCCGAAGGAAACATGCACACGTCCGGGCGATGCCAGGGTGCAGAAACGTCGATCTCGAGCCGGGAGCCGCTGCCTTCGCAGCGGGGGCTCCGAGGGGCTCCGGGGGCGGGAGCGGAGCCCGCGCGGGAGCCGGGGGGGGGGGGGCCCCGGGCGGGCGAGGCGCGGGCCACGGGGGATACATGGTGGCCGTGAGTATGGACAGCGTGTGGCAGGCCACCAGCCAGGTGGGCGCGCCGAAGGGCATGCGCCCCTGCCGCGCCAGGGGGGCAGCGAGGGAGGGAGAGGAGCGGCGAGGGGGGGAGGGAGCGAGGAGGGAGGGAGGAAAGGGAGGGATCGAGGGAGGAGCGGAGCAGCCAGTCTAGGGGGGCTGTTGCCAGTCGTTTGCATGCGTAGCTGCTCGCCGATCGCGGGAGGGGAGCGGGAGGGGGCAGGGAGCGAGGAACGGAGAGCGAGGAGGGAGGCAGGGAGGGAACGAGGGAAGAACGAAGAGAAAGGCGGGAGGTGGTGGATGGATGCTTGGACGGCGCCGTAAAAGGTCGGGAAGTGGAGGCACCAGCAGCTGAGCTGGACATGCCCGAGTCAGGTCTCCCCTGGGGTCCTTGTCTGGTCTTTAGCTCGAACCATGGACCGCCAGTTTCTAATCATGTGCGGGAGACGAAAGGGAAACTCCCAAAATTCGGGGAACGAATGCAACACTCATCTCAGGGCGGGAGCTCAAATCCGTGTCGGAGGATATTAGCGGTTCTACAGGCAGCGCCTTGCTGATCACCTCACGCACACGCGTATCAGGTCCAAACCCTCGACGGAACCTGCTGCGAACGTCTATTCCCATGCGCGATAGTCTTGACAGATTACTGCCAAAATCATCGTCCTCCATTGGCTCCAACTCCCGCGATTCAAACAAAGAATCTGCTGCTCTCGGCAATGATCCAGACTGGCCTTAGGGCCAGAAACAAAAGAAAGAACCACACCCGACACAACGACGAGGCAGTGGCTCCTTAGAATTCCGCGTCAACGTTCTGAGAGCTGGAGGCGCACCCTCAGTACATTGGAAAGTCTGGACTATCACAAATGAACCGGCACATCCGACACTGCATCCCGAGCTCCGAACGCCGCCAAACGTGCCAGGACCTGCCCTGACGGTGTCTCTCGGCTGGCCGAAAAAAAAAGGAGCACGTTTCCACCGCAACCCCCACTCTGATAGCGAGGGCACCGCTCCGAAGCCAAGTCTACAGCTGGGGTGGTTCGCTGCCGATGGAGATCTGCACGCTGGAAGAGCAGCAGATCGTGCCACGGATGGCCAGCAGGGGCCTGCTCTGCGTGCCCCTCCACGGCATGGGTCGACAAGATCGGGCCGTCGATGGTGCCCGGCAGGGCCACGGAGAGCCCCCCATGCCCTCGATGCGCCGCCGCGCGACGGGGCTTCCAACGAAAGGCCCCGCTCCGGCCCCCGCCTGTCCTACAGTCGGGGCGTTGACCTAAGGAACCCTAAATAAGGAACGTAGCCCCTTTTTTCCACGAGCTAAACTTCGATTCCCCATCGAAAACATGAGGAAAACCTGAGGCAAGCTGCGAAACACTTAAGGAACGCGGAGCCCCTCCCCAACGAAAAGGGTTCCTTCTTCAGGGCCCCAACTGTACAGCTGGACCAAGCCCGAGCAGGAAACCGATGCTCTGGTCGGATCGACCAGGGAACTCCAAACCACCCCTGGAGAGCTGGATCCACAGCCGCACGAGCATCCCACGGCCCAGAAGGGCAGCTTCTGCAGTGGCGCAAGTACGTCCATGAGCTGGGGGCGTCCTCCGAGCTTGGGTCCTTCGCGCACTGTTGAGCTGAGCTTCAGAAATGCCTGGAAACCTTAGACCCATACAACGGCGCAGGGGCAACGCTGGTGAGCAGGACATTGGCCACGACTTGCTTGGTCTCGTTGTTGGGAGCTGTTGCTTTCAGTCTGTTTCACCCGAATTTGATTGATCCCCCACAAACAAAAGCGTCGCTTAACGCGGGCTCGAACTGAGACGCGCTCGCCTCTGCCAGAACAACCGATGCCTGGGTGCATAACCGAACTCCATCGCAATAGGAGGCTCTTACCCCAATCCTCGAATGATAGCACGTGCTAACTCGAGATCTGCGGCCACAAAAGCGACTTGGTCGTTGGCAAGAGCGTTGATCCTTGCACTAGCCCCCTTGAAATCTCGACCAGCAATAGCAGCCAACGTTGGTGCAGGAGGGGGCGGGCGGGGAGGGGGCCAAAACCACTATCGGAGCGGGGATAAGTCCAAAGCAATGAGGAACGAGGGGGGGGGGGTCGGACGAGCACAGCATCGTGAGTGAAGGTCTCCTCCTCTTCCTGAGGGCTACGCGACGGGATGTGCACACACCCACCACCGATCCTGGAGCCAAGATGGGCCTAGGACAAAGGAGGTGAACATGCGCAGGTCTCGCATCAGATTCCCTCATCGTCCCTCCCCCCTCCTCCTCCCTCATCTGTCTTCCCCCTCCTCCCCCTCCCCTCCCCCCCCCTAGCGCGTCGCTGGGGGCGCACCGACGTCATCCTTATGTGGCCTGCCTTTACATGCCATCGTGGACGGCGGGCAACACTGCCTCAGCTGCCTAGGGGCAAGATGCCGAGCACGTGCGTGCCCAGCTCACTCGCCGTGGCGTCGTGATGTCCTGTGTTCTGATCTGCGCAAGGCGGCAGATTGTGTCCGCCTTCTCTCGCCCCAGGCTCGAGAGTTGTTTGCGAGGTGTGTTCTGCTTGGACCCATTTGTTGGCTTTCGTGTTCCCTCGAGCCCACTGGCGCCACTGCGCATAGGAACAATTGGCCGGCAGAAGGGCTGGTGCTCGAGGCATGGGCTGACACCTTTCCAGACGACTGGTGCTACGAGCTCGCTTTGCCCAAGATTCGATCGGCTGGGTGGGCGATGATTATGACGGAAAGGCAGATGAATGTTCATCGTGCGATATGGGGGCCTGCGCCCATGTCTGAGGCTCCATTTGCAGGTCGGCCGTGACAATGAGGACCGTGCTGCAGTTAGAAGAAAGAAGAATAGCATGGACATAAATTTAGGGCGCTCCGCGCGGATTTCTTGGATGCGTGCTGGGCCGGAAGCGCCGCCGGGAGGGCCCAGCGCGGATCCAAGAAATCCGCGCGGAACGCCAAAAGTTGATGCTCTTTCCGTTCGAGATGAGGACTCTGATGTAGTGCCTCTCGTGCACCATGCTGTTGCCATCCCTGGCGCCTAAATATGTGGGGATTGTGCTGGGACTCTTGGGCACGGCTCGGAACCTCCCTCGGCTGTCAATCCCGGCAACGCTAGATCCCACATGTGCCAGCATGTTAGTGGTAAGCTCGAAGGTGCTGTGTGGCAGAAACTATGTTGCATCCCCGAGGGACCTTGTCTGTCCTGTCGCGGCCCTATCCGCGTCGAATCCGTGTCGAATCCATGTCGGACTCGTCGGACCCGTGTCGAATCAGCGTCGGATCCGCGACGAATCCACGCCAAATCCGCGTCGAGTCCACATCGAGCCCGCGTCGGGCACAAAAGAAGACCCCAATGTGGGGGACGGGCGAGGCCCCCCGAAGATGCAGCGTAATCGAAGGTGCTGCGTGTGGCCGCTCGCTGCCCCTCTCGTGGCGTTGCAAACGGTAGCCCGACCGCCTCGAGCAGCTCGGCTGCAAGGCGGCCGAGGACTGTGCGAACCACGGGGCCGAGCTTGGTAGGATCCTTGCGGCTGACAGGGCCGTTCGGCGGTGGACAAACCTCCCTTTAGTAAACCTCCCCTTAGTGAAAGCGGCCTGGGACCGAAACCGACGGACCTGGACCCGCAAAAATACGGCCGCGACGCCCTCTCGCGAACCGAAAACGGCCAATTCCTGAATCGACGTGTCAGGGTAGGAGGTCTGTCCAACCCCGAGTCGTGGTTGAGTTCACGGGCGAAGGACGGTACAGCATAAACCCGTCCGCCCCGTCGGGGACGCCCGTCCCAGGGCGACCGAAAGCGTATGCCCCTGCGGTGGCACGTCCAGAAGGAGACACTGCCCGGCCAGCCTCGGACAAGCGCCCTTGGCGATGGAAAAGCTTACGTATGTTACACTGTTCCTCGCCCGCTGGTTGAAGGCTACATCGAACTCTCCAGGTCGTTGTGTATGAATAGGAAGGTGCCCCGGGACACACGAATTAATAAACACAAGTAAAAGGATTCCCCATATTTCCCCATATTTTCTGGGGCTCTGTCTTCGCCCCCAACTTCGCAGATTCTCCCATGTTTTCTAGAGGGTCCACGATTAATTGTGTCTGTGTGTCTTTTTCCCCTCCTGATGGTTGAAGGCTGCATCGAACTCTCCAGGCTGTTGTGTATGAATACTCCGCCGCGCAGGAGGCTTGGATCCGGGCACGGCAGACACGTGGATCACGTCGGCCTCGACCGGCTCCACCTGATCGAGCTCGAACTCAAGCCCAGCCTCTCCCTGAGCCCTCCTCCTCCTCCCCTCCTCCTCCTCCTCCTCTACTCCTCCCCCCCTGGGGGGCAGGAGAGCCCAGAATCGAATCGACAAGTCGGAACGGCGATCGAAATGGGCTGGATCGGCAGACATCGGCAGCCATGTCGGGAGAAGCCGAATCGGCAGAAATCGGCAGGCTGGTAGGCCTTCATCAAGGCATCGGCATCCGAGTCGGACTCCGAGGCCGAAGCGAATCGGCATCGGAGGCCCTCGATCTCGAATCGAACCGACTCGGAGCGATCGAGATGAGCCCTGTGGGGGGTGGCTCAGGGACCCCTCCCTCGGGAGCGGCCAAGAGGGGGGTGTCCAAGAGGGGGGGGTGCAAATCATGACCGGCGGCATGTGCGCGGCCCAGCGGGGGGGCCAGGGACGTAATGAAATAAGAAGAGGCGCCATGAGATCTGGGGAAATATCATGGCCCGCGCCATGATATCCCCCCCCCTAGTCATCACCCCCCTCTTTTCCGCCCCCGACTCCCGTGGGGGCCCGCCCACACGACCTCGGCAGCCCGGGGGTGGCCGGCGGAGAGCCGCGGGGAAAGGCCCCTCGGATCCTGCCGCCAAAAGAGTGCGGCCGTCGGCCTCGACCGCGGGGGTGCGCGCCCGCCAGGGGGCCCACCGGGGGCACCAGCTCGGCTGGGCCCGAGGAAGCACCACCGCGGGCAAAGTGGCCCCAGACATGATCGCGTCGTAAAATTATCCCGGCAAAGCAACCTAACAGCCATGTGTAGGAGCATCTCTGGGT